GGTCTGAGGAAGGGTCTTCTGAAGAAGGGTCCCGATCTGAAACATCAACTTTCCTGCTCCTCTGATGCTGCCTGGCCTGCTGCGTTCCTCCAGCTCCACACTGTTATAGTTGAAGAAACTACAAGGTTTAGAAATCATTTATCTTTAATCTGAACTGATAATAGCACATTGAAAGATAAGCTTAATCTAGCAGCCCTCAATTGCTCCAAATATTTTGTTAAAATCCTAGATGATAAATTGAGTTTGTGTTGCAAAATAATTGATCTTACACTCTTCAAAGCACAAAACAAGTTAGGTATAACTTGAAATGCAATCACATACAAACATATGACATGGGAGTAGGAGTTGGCCCCTCAAGCTTGTTCTGCTGTTCAATAAAATCAAAGCTGATTGGACTTTGTCCCTAATTGCAACATCCCTGCCTCCTCCTGATAATCTCTGAAACCCTTGGTAGTCAAGAATATATATCCATCATAAAAATATTGACCCTGCCTCCCGTGTTCTCCAGAGAAGAAAGTTCCAAAGACTTATAACCTTCTGAAAGATACAGGTTCCCTTTGCAATATCCGACAACATTACATTTGCCTTTTTAAACACTTGCTGTGCCTGCATAGTGAAGTTTTGAGATTCATGTACCAGGACAGCAGATCCTTCTGTGCTTCTCAGTTCTGTAAACTTCAATTTGAATAATATGTGGCTTTGCTTTTTTTTCTGCCAAAGTTGACAAGTCCATTTTCCCAAATCATACTCCATCTGCCTATTTTTCCCCACTCACTTAACCAATCTACCTTCCTCTGCAGACTTATGACCTCTTCAGAACTTACACTCCTACTCTTTGATAAATTTAGCAATCATATATTCGACTCTTGATCCAAGTCATTTATATAGACTGTAAATCATTGAGGCCCTATCACTGATTCCTGTGTCCCAACACTCATCACATGCTGCTAATCCAAAAATGCATTTATGTCCATTCTCTGCTTCCTATTAGCCTGTTAATCCTTTATCTTTCCTAACGTTACCCCCTACACTGTGGGCTCTTGTTCTGACCCTTCAAGTGGCACCTTGTCAAATACCTTCTACAAATCTAAGTACAAGACAACCACCAGTTCATCGCTATTTATATTGCTTACTCCTTCATGAAAAATCTCTAATCAATTAGTCAAACATATTTCTTTCACAAAACCATAGTGACACTGCATGATTGCATTAAGATTTTCTAAGTATTCTGCTATAACCTTCTTAACAGTAGGAAGGTTAGCATACATAAAGATTACACTGCCTAGAAAATAGATTAGGCTGAGAGTGGAGTGATAGCCCTCTTTCTATCAGCAAGTGGCATGGCATAAAAATTGCACAAACAAAAGCAAGTAGGAGCACAAGAAGGGGTAGTGAGGGCAAGCAACAATCAAATATCTGGCAACCCTGGACCACAAAAACTCCAGCTAGTGTCTGCACCTCTCAGGAATTCAATTGAATTGTTGAACCTGAGTTCAGGGCATAAATATATTAGGAAGGGGAAAAGAGTTACCGTCGTTCTTTGATCTAGGAGGTAGTCACATCCCTGAGGTTACGTAATAATAAATAGAATCATGGAATGATTACAGCCCAGAGGATGACATTCGGTCCCTGCAGCCGCTTGCTCCAAGAACAATTCACCTGGTAATATCAAAGTCCCCACTCTCCAACTTACCCGCAGTCATGCTGCAAACGTTTCATTTCAGCAAATGATTGTGCTATTTTTAATCTTCCTCCACCACACACTCGGGCTGTGCATTGCTCATGTCAATATTATTTCTTGTGTCAAGCATCTTAAACCAGTGCCCCGCGGTTCTCAATCCTTCCACCAATTGTTACTTCTACTTTATCCAGAATATCTCTTTCAAATATCCTCTTAATCTTTGTTTCTTGATGGAGAAATGCCCCAGCAACTCCAAGCTATCTTTAAATTTAGTTTATTATCCATGGAGTCATTCACTGCCTGTCTTTTCTGCACCCTTCCCATCCATTCTTAAGCGCGGTATACTTAAGTTGAAGCACCACCAGCATTTTTACTTAGGCTTTAATAATAGGACCATAGAGTACAGAAGCAAGGAGGTTATGCTAAACTTGTATAAGACATTAGTTAGACCTCAGCTGGATTATTGTGCACAACTTGGGGCTCTACCCTTTCAGAAGGACGTAAGTGCGTTGGAGAGTGCAGAAGAGGCTTTTGAGAATGGCTCCAAGGATAAGAAATTCAGTTGTGAAGACTGATCAGGGATGTTTGGAATTGTTTTGGAATTTGAGAAGAGCTGGCTAAGAGAAGATTTGATAGAAGTTTTCACTATGAGGGGCGACAGACAGGGTATACCGTTTCATCTCTTAAAAGAATTGAGAATGAGAAGGCACGGATATTACACAGGGAGTGGTTGAGATCTGGCAGTGTGTTGGGAGACAGGTTCAACAGAAGCATACAGGAGGATACACTCAGGGCTATGAGGAAAAGGAAGGAGAACGGCATCAAATTATAATGCTTAGAGAGCAATCGCAGACATAATGGCCTAATCCACTTTGTTTTAGGACGTAATAATTCTGTGATTATACAGATTCATCATATGGAGGATGTGGAAAGATGACAGTGTAAAGGTAACGTCATTAGAATAGTAATCCAGAGGCCCAGGCTAATGCTCTTGGGACATGGGATCAAATCCCACCATTGCAGCTGATGAAATACAAATTCAATCAACTCTGGAGTTGCAAGCTAGGTTCAAAGATGTGCGACTATCAATTGCTTTAAAAATACATTTGGTTCACTAATGTCCTTCAGGGAAGGATATCTGTTATCCCTACCTGTTCTGGCCTACATTAAATTCTGGACTCTCAGCAATGCGGTTGATTCTTAAATGCAATCTGAAAATGGCCTAGTGAATTCAACAGCTAAATGAATGGGAATGAAATGCTGGCCTTGCCAGTGACACTGGACCGTACAACTGAGGATTTTTAAAATTTTCAGTTCATAATACTTCCATGTTTCGTGCAATCTGCAAATTTTCAAACTGTGCCTTGTACAACATTAATTCAGGGAGAGAAGGGGTGCTAACATTGACCCACAGGGAACCAGAACAGAAACTTTAATCTGCACAAGTTGCTACATCTCTCATGTTTAAATTATACAAATTCAGACAGACATGGATTCAATTAAAAAGAAAATTCTTCCCAAAGAAATAACACTCTAGTTATCCATTTTCCATCTGCTTTGCTCAACTTCACAGGCAAAAAGATCAAATCACAAAGTGTAGAAATATAATTCATACAATGTAAAGGATTCTTATTATTCTTACAGGAAGTAACATGTTTAAGAAGTTTTCACAGCAGTACAGGGTGAACTAAAGTTCTACATCAAAAACAAAACACATACCGGTTTGTAAAAGCTGTGTTAATATATCAGCGACTCTTGGTAGGTTTTCACCTGTTGCAAACTGAGGCAATTCTTTAATGGCTTGACGACGAATCTGAACACAAAATTTCACCCTCTTAGATTTTACACATTCTACTTGCAATGATGTAAAGTTTACTTAATCGTATGTATTAGACAATCTTACATTGTTTTACAACAAACTTGTGAAAATTCAACATTAATTATTCAGCACCGACCTTGCAACTTTCAATGCACTGCTTTTTGAAAGTTAACAAAAACTCAATAAAACTAAACTTGCGTCAAAGAGGACTACTGAAAATCAGAAAGAACAGAATACAGTCATCTTCTCCTCATTTTCACCCTGCCCTGCCCATCTAATCAAAATTAACAAATTCAGATTGGAATAGAAATGGAACATAACCCTTACAGAAAGATCTTCATCCTCACAGAGATCCAACTGGGCATTGATAGCACTATCGGCCAACTCAGGAAAATGTTTGAAAAACTTAGGAATAAATTGCGCTGCCAATCTTTTCTCTTTGGCTCCGCTCTTCACACCATCAAGAATGGCCTGATATGCATCTTTGTACTGCAAAATAAAAATACATTTTGTCATAATTTGATCTAAACCCCTCAAAACATTCAGCTTAATAGAGATCCACTTTTGTTTCAGGGATTGAGACGCTCCTTTTGTGGAACCGTGAACTTTCAGAAGCTAGGTTTTATAACACTGTTTTTGGAAAAACATAACTTAAACAAGTGATCATATCAGAAGCACAATTTAGATAGCCGCCAGCTTCTCAGGAGTGATTAGTGATGGGCAATAAATGCTCGACTTGCCAGGGACTCCCACATCCCCTGGATGAATAAAATACTTGTGTTTCAAACAATGCATGGTTCTCTCCATTCACCACCCTGCACCCATCCAGAAGTGTTGAGCTCTTCATTGGTTCACATGTTCTTTTAACGGTAGATTTTCCAGACCATTTAGCATTATAAAAAGGACCTGTGATGCCAGCTTTTAGTGGACGACACCTTTGTCATCATTAAACGGACCAAATTAGAAGAGACACACAAACTCATAAACAACACCCTCACCAGAATAAAATTCACCAGAGAGGAGATGAACAAACAACTCCCATTCCTGGACGTCATGGCAGAGCGCAAGACAAATGGGGAACTGCAAACAAATGTACACTGAAAAGCTACACACACAGACCAGGTATTGAACTTCAATAGTAACCATCCCAGCACACACAAACGAAGCTGTGTGCGAACACTATTTAAAAGGGCAACAACACACTGCAACAACATGGAACTACGCCAAGAGGAGGAGGAATACCTCTTCCAAGTGTTCAAGGATAATGGATTTCCAAAGAACTGGGTCAGGAGATGCCTACAGGAACAGCATCAGAAAGATTCTACACGCCCCGACACACTCATCACACTACCCTACATCAGGAACACGTCAGAATTCGCCACAAGACTTCTACGATCGCTGGGCATCAGAGTGGCACACAGGCCCACATCAACCCTATGACAAGTGCTCACCCGAACTAAAGACCCACTCCCTGCCATGGACAGGACCAATGTCATCTACAAGATCCCCTGCAGAGACTGCGAGAAAACACTACATCGGACAAACAGGAAGGAAACTAACAAGAGTACATGAACACCAACTGGCTACAAAAAGACACAACCAATACTCACTCATCTCAATCCATATGGACAAGGAGAACCACGACTTCGACTGGGACAACACCAAGATCCTGGGACAGGTTAGGCAGAGACAAGCACGAGAATTCCTGGAAGCATGGCACTCCACGAAGCATGCTATTAATAAACACATTGAACTCGACCCCATATACATTCCACTACGAAGGAAAACTGCAAGTGAGGCAATCCATCTCAACGGACCCCAGAGTTTAAAAACCAGGTGGGAAAACACACCGACGCTTCATCAGAGGCTGCACTGAGGATGTTACCAAGCATGGCAATGAAATGTCTGCGAAACAACAAACCAGCTCGGCGAGCCAACCAACCTCAACATCCACAACCCGAGCTACAGATCAACTCCAAAACCTTTAACAAACTTCCTCTGGGAAGTCAGAAAACATAACTGTTATAAATAAACAGACTACGATCATTCAGAACTGGTTGACTGGGCAGAAAGCTTTGCAGATGGGTAAAGCTTTGTAGTTTTAAGGTGTAACTCAGAAATTGTACACATTTTAAAGATAACTTTGTAGCTGCAAATGTTAGATCTGTATAGCAGATGTATATTTTTCATATATTACCAATGGTACCCTGTTTTATGTCATATAAAACAAAATATATGTATTAAGATGGAGGTCTGGCATTTTAAGGCACTAATGGTTCAGAACATCAAACTCGGGTGATGTACGAGTCAAGATGCACACCTGACCAGACCATCCAGCACATTAAAACCACTGCCTCATAACATCATCTTTCAATAACAGGTTTAACTTTTCTAAATAAGTGAAATGTCTACATGTATCAATATACCATCTTTAATTTCTTGTTCACAGAATGTTACAGTGCCCTTTTCTAAGGGGAAGCAGTACTACATATGCAGAGCACATTACATTATTCTACTGCTAAATCGTACAGGTAGATCAATGAATCTACAAGATGTAGACTGTACTTGAGGTTTAATGACTGTATCATAGATTAGAATTGTTTAAAAACATGTTTAGTTATTCATTAAGGGTACAGAATTGCATCAAATATGGTCAAGCTATTCTAAATAATGGAAAGCGCAGGTTAGAGAGGCCCAGGTTTTTTGCACTGGTCCTTTCTCTGTTTGTATACATGTTGTAAACAGAAATATGGCATCCATATTTTTAATATGTAAAAACACATTCACAATGGCCAGACTTCAAAACTAATAGCAAAGTGACAGGCCCTGGCTTCAAAGAAAATCAGCTTCATAGTTTGGATTATCTATAATGTGGATTTCCCTGGATTTAATTTGAAAATGGCATAAAAGCAAGGAATCTACAAGTCTTCAGTAGCAGTGATGCAATCAAGCATCGTTAAACAGCCAATCACACTGAATTACACTCTCAGACAGCAAACCAGGAAGTAAAATGGAACTATTATCTTTTTTTAAAATTCAATTTTGATGAGATTAAAATAATTGACTGGGCACACACGTGATTGTGGTGGAAAGTGAAATGCCATTATTTAAAAATTAAACTTGGACTTAATCCTAATGGAGAGAATTGACATGCCACAAGTATAAAATCAGGTTTCAGAACAAGCAGTAGTCAAGAACGGAGTACACTCTTCAAATCTGAGTTAGAAACCATTCAAAAAGTTGTCTTAATGTTAAGAGTTTTTGCAGTGAGGCTAATAGAATAAAAGGATAAATTGTTTAAAATTCAGTGATTCTCCAAGATTTTCACTCGTGTGGCTTCAGCTATATATCTTATGGAGCTTAGAAACACTGACGGCAACCTTCAGCATTCACACTCGGGCAAATTCAAAATATCACTTAGTTCCAGAGGTGTAATAGGGTTGTAACTCCTGCAAAACCCACAGCAATTACATTAAACCTCAAATCAAATGAGACTTCTGAATACAAAATTTTCTTGTAATATTTTGTCACAACTGTCAAATTTCTCCTGTTATGAGTTTGCATCTCCATATTTAATAAAGCACTGTGTTTCTGTGTTGAGATATGAACAATAGCAAGGAGATTGAGGCTTTAGAAGATAAATGTAGATTCAATATAATGTTAAACAGAAAAAACTCCAAATGCTGGAAATCAGGAATTGCTGTAAAATCTCAGAAGGTATGTCAGCATCTGTGGACAAAGAAATCCAGTGCCCTTCAGTTCTGAATTTTATCCAGCGATTTCTGTTTTTGTTTCATTACAATCTTTCCCACCACTGGGAAATAAATACACTGAATTGCATTTTGTTTGAACATAACGATATACAGAACTATGAAAATACAGGTCAATGCAGATCAAAGCAACATGTTTCAAGTCATTGTTTCAAACAGCACAGAAAAGGCCCTTTGGCCCATCGAGTGTGCACTGACATTAACTACCACTAGAGGTGCGCTAATCCCAATTTCCTGCACTTGTCTCATATCCTTGAATATTATGATATTTCACATGCTCATTGAAGTATTTTTAAAACGTTTTTAAATATTTTGTAATGTTTTCGGCCTCCACTACCTTCTCAGGCAGAGGGATTAGATAGGGTGGACAGTGGGAGCCTTTTCCCTCGGATGGTGATGGCTAGCACGAGAGGACATAGCTTTAAATTGAGGGGTGATAGATATAGGACAGATGTCAGAGGTAGGTTCTTTACTCAGAGAGTAGTAAGGGCGTGGAATGCCCTGCCTGCAAAAGTAGTAGACTCGCCAACTTTAAGGGCATTTAAATGGTCACTGGATAAACATATGGATGATAATGGAATAGTTTAGGTTAGATGGGCTTCAGATTGGTTTCACAGGTCGGCGCAACATCGAGCGCCGAAGGGCCTGTACTGCGCTGTAATGTTCTATGTTCTATGTATTTCAGATTCCCACCATCCTCTGAGTTAATATGTGTTTTTCTCAAAAAGGTCCAATCAAAGTTAATTGGCACAAAGGTTAAAGGAAAAAAATTAAGTAGAGAAGAATAAAACACAGCCACTGATTTTCACCTGTAAGAGCAATCAGAACCTTTGCTGTCCTCACTTTATAAAAATACTACTGGTCATGCATTAGAATATGTTAAACACAGAACATTAAGGCAAATGATATGCAACTATTCCCAGTTGGCGAAAACAAAATAGTCGTTGAGACATTCAAGAAAAATATTTATAGATACAAATTAAAAACAAGACTCAACGGGGAAAAAAGTTCCTTTAGAATTAGGAGTCTCTGGAACTCTGAATACATCCAAGTCGCCCTTCGCCCGCCCCCACAAGTCCCCCTTCGCCCGCCCCTCCAGCTTAATAAACCAGCTTAAGGGGATATGAAAATAGAGTAGGCAACTGTGACGGGAATGATTTGCTTACAGGAAAGCCAAACTGTCAAGAGGAACTGATTGGCCCTTATCCAGGTTGTCACTTGGCTTCACAATGGAAATCACCTGCCACGGAAGCTACTGCATAAGTTGACGTCTGAAGCCTAGCAAAATTTCTCTTTAAAAATAGGTGTTGATTAATACATAAATACATAGGGAAAGTTTCAGCCACAATTTTATCAAATGGCAGAGTAGGCTCCAAGAGCTAAATTACCTACTCTTGCTAATTCTCAAGCTCATACATCTACAAGTATAAGTAGTATAAAGAGGAACCACCAAACTGGATGGTGGCTACTTTGGGTAACTCCTCTGTGTGGGCATGTGTTAAACATCTTCATAATATAAGTATCGGAGGGGAAGGGGGAGGACAAGGTTGAGCAGGGGGTGGGGAAAAACACTAGGACAAGTGGAGGGGAAGGTGGGAAGAGGACGAGATGAGGGTGGCAGATTGGAAGAGATGATGACCAGAGGAAGGTTGTTTTTTGGACTGGAGGCTTGTGATTAGCAGCGTGCCGCAAGGACCGGTGCTGGGGCCACCGCCTTTCATCATTTACATAGACGATTTGGATGTGAATATAGGAGGAATGGTTAGTAAGTTTTCAAATGACATCAAAATTGGTGGTGAAGTAGACAGTGAAAAAGGTTATCTTAGAGTACAACGGGGCATTGATCAGATGGAGTGGGAGATGGAGTTTAATGTAGATAAAATGTGAGATGTTGCATTTTGGTAAGGCAAATCAGGGCAGGACTTCTACACTTAATGGTAGGGTCCTGGGGAGTGTTGCCAAACAAAGAGACCTTTCAGGTCCTTGCAAAATTTTTGCAGGTTCACAGTTCCTTGAAGGTGGTGTCGCAGATAGACAGGAGTGAAGGTGGCGTTTGGTACATCTGCCTTTTTTTGGTTGGTGCACTGAATACAGGAGTGGGGAGGTCATGTTGCGGATGTACAGGACATTGGTTAGGCCACTTTTGAAATACTGCGTTCAATTCGGGCTACAGGAAAGATGTTGTTAAACTGAAAGTGTCCAGAAAAGGTATACAAGGATGTTGTGGGGTTGGAGGACTTTAACTACAGGGAGAGACTGAACAATCTGGTGCTATTTTCCCTGCAGTGTCAGAAGCAGAGGGGTGACATTATAGAGGTTTATAAATTCATGAAGGGCATGGATACTGTGAATAGACAAGGTCTTTTTTTCCGGGGTAGGGAGTCCAAATCTAGAGGGCACGGGTTTAAGATGACAGGGGGAAAAATTTAAAAGGGACCTAAAGGGCAACCTTTCCATGCACAGGGTGGTGCAAAAGGAAGTGGTGGAGGGTGGCACACCAACATTTATAAGATATCTGGCTAGGTACATGAATGGGGGCTTTAGATGGATATGGGACAAATGCTGACAAAGGGGAATAGATTAATTTAGGATATCTGGTCAGCAGGTGGGACTGAAGGGTCCGTTTCGTGCTGTACAACTATATGACTCTAGGTGTGTGGGTGGGGAGGGTGGTAAGTGGCGGGAGAAGAG